GGTTTAGGAGTTTAGGGTTTTAGGGGTTTAGGAGTTTAGGGTTTCAGGGGTTTAGGAGTTTAGGGTTTTAGGGGTTTAGGAGTTTAGGGTTTTAGGGGTTTAGGAGTTTAGGGTTTTAGGGTTTTAGGGTTTAGGTTTAGGAGTTGAGGGTTCGGGGTTTTAGGAGTTTAGGGGTTTAGGGTTTGAGGAGTTAGGAGTTTAGGGTTTAGGGGTTTAGGAGTTTAGGTTTTAGGGGTTTTCGGAGTTTAAGGGTTAGGGGTTTAGGTTTGTGGGGTTTAAGGATTTAGGGTTTTAGGGTTTAGGAAGTTTAGGCTGTCAGGGGTAGGGGTTAGGGGGGAGGGGGGGGGTGGGGTAGTTTAGGTTTAGAGTGGTTTAGGGTGTAGGTTTTAGTAGAGGGGGGTTTAGGAACTTTGGTTTCGGGGTTACGAGTTTTAGGTGTTAGTGGTTTAGGAGTTTAGGTTTTAGGGTTTAGGAGTTTAGGGTTTTTAGGGTTTTAGGTTTTAGGGCTTAGGGTTTAGGGTTTTAGTTTTAGGGGCTTAGGGTTTTAAGGAGTTTAGTGGTGTTGGTTTTTAGGGTTTAATGAGCTTAGGGCTTTAGGGTTTTAGGGTTTTAGGGTTTAGGGGCTTAGGGTTTTAGGAGTTTAGGGTGTTAGGGTTTTAGGGTTTAGGAGCTTAGGGTTTTAGGAGTTTAGGGTTTTAGGGTTTAGGAGCTTAGGGTTTTAGGGGTTTAGGGTTTTAGGGTTTTAGGGTTTAGGAGCTTAGGGTTTTAGGAGTTTAGGGTTTTAGGGTTTTAGGGTTTAGGAGCTTAGGGTTTTAGGAGTTTAGGGTTTTAGGGTTTAGGAGCTTAGGGTTTTAGGAGTTTAGGGTTTTAGGGTTTAGGAGCTTAGGGTTTTAGGAGTTTAGGGTTTTAGGGTTTTAGGGTTTAGGAGCTTAGGGTTTTAGGAGTTTAGGGTTTTAGGGTTTAGGAGCTTAGGGTTTTAGGAGTTTAGGGTTTTAGGGTTTAGGAGCTTAGGGTTTTAGGAGTTTAGGGTTTTAGGGTTTTAGGGTTTAGGAGCTCAGGGTTTTAGGAGTTTAGGGTTTTAGGGTTTAGGAGCTTAGGGCTTTAGGAGTTTAGGGTTTTAGGGTTTCAGGGTTTAGGAGCTTACCTGGACAACCTTTTGGCGTTTCTTAAACAACAAGTCGATTATTTTTCAGGCAAAGAAACAACAGACAAGCAGCAATAAACAAAAGAAACAACAAGTTGTAACTTTACATCAAGGTCCATGCTTTGGGCTTAATTAATAAGTATATAAATAACAGTCGCACTGCTTCGAATCTGGTTTCGGTGTTTATAGGGTACATGGGCTTCTGCAAACAATTGCCTACGGCTCTCGGTGCTTAGGGCTACGGGGCTTCTGCAGACAATACGGCACGGTGCAGAGCTGCGGGGGGCTTCTGCACATACAATTGCCTACGGCTCTCGGTGCTTATAGGGCTACCGGGGCTTCTGCGCAAACAATTAACTACGGCTCTCGGTGATTAGGGCTATACGGGGGGCTTCTGCATACACTTGCCTACGGCTCTCGGTGCTTAGGGCTATTGGGGGCTTTTGCACAAAGAATTGCCTTCGGCTTCGATGGCTCTCGGGCTTCGGGTGCTTCTGCAAATGGACAACCAACCAAGCACAACGACCGACCGACCAAGCGAACAAGCACAGCAAGCCTTCAAGCACAACCAACCAAGCACAACGACCGACGGACCAAGCGAACAAGCACGGCAAGCCTTCAAGCACAGCATGCTTTCAAGCACAACCAACCAAGCACAACGACCGACCGACCAAGCGAACAAGCACAGCAAGCCTTCAGGCACAACCAATCAAGCACAACGGTCGACCGACCGACCAAGCAAACAAGCACAGCAAGCCTTAAGCACAACCCAAGGCGCCCAATCGACCAAGCGAACAAGCACAGCAAGCGCAATCAACCAAGCACAATCGACCGACCGACCAAGCGAACAAGCACAGCAAGCCAGCACAACCGACCGACCGACCGACCGAAAAACAAGCCAACCGACCAAGCAACGAGTTAAGCGTGCGTGTGTCAGACATGGTGCACAAGCCAACCTTTTTCACTCTGCAGACGGCGCCACATCATGGATCTCTTCAAGATATATCGAGCACTCCACGCCATCAACATAGTTCGCGGATGGGAAGCGTGGGCACAAGATCTCATGAATTTCATGAAATCTTCTTCTGCAAAGTTTGCGAAGAACATGGGGTTGATAGCATTGCGTTCAATGTCAGATATCAGGTGACACAAGTAATGGTGTTTCGGCCTCACTATGTACAGAGTTTGCTTGCGAAGCAAGCATTGCCGAGCCATCCTTTGCCAGAGTTCCAGGTGCAATTGCAGCAAAGCAGTGCCTTGAGAGGCTTCATGTCGAGCGAGAAACGGTCGTTGGCCTTTGCCGAAGAGCGACAAAGCGGAATCCAAGGACCAGAGCATAGCGGCACGAACTTGATTCCAGTGAATAAAGTCAGCATCTGCAGTCCACGGCACGGCCCGCTCCTCATTGGGTAGGATATATATATATATATATATATATATATATATATATCTATCTTTCACCATGCCATTTAGGAAAACAAGCGATATGGCTGATGCAGTTCAAGTACTACGTCAATGGCAAAGTGTGTCACAAACGCCAGCAAGTTCCTCGTTCGAGATGCTTTGATGCGTGACGACAGCTCAGGGTAGTTGGCGCTGTCCGATTTGCCCAGCGATGCCACCGTCAGCGGCTTGATGTGGACGTCCAGGCGACGGTCACGAGCCCACAGCTTGGCGCGTGCAGTAAAAGTAAACAGGACATTGTCGAACGGTGTGTCAGAAGCCATGCCCAGGAACTCATGCATCTGACCTGGACGATTCGAAAGCACAAATGATAGCAACTTCTAAACCCCATGACATGCAGCAAACAAACCCACGTCACAGCTTACCATGCTCCGAGATTCGGCTTTCCAACGTTTCCCAGAGGACACTGCCAATGAGGTCCCGCAAGATGCCCAGATGGGCAATGTGCATTACTCGGCTGCAGAGGCACCACATTAGTTGTTAAAGCAACTCTTTCAATCTCAGTCCTACACCGTTTACCAGCCAATCATACTGCAAGTGGGAAGCTGTCGAAAGCGCGTCTGTGTTTGTGAAAGCCAGGGATCACCTTCCATGGAGTGTGCTCCTCTGTGGTACATGCTTGCCTCGGTTCCAGGGTTCGTCGCCAGTTGGCAGCCATCGTAAAGTCAGCGTAGGTGAGGCCACGAAGTCTTTTCTGGGCAAGGCAAAGGTCGCAACAGTTGTTGGTCAAATAATTCCTTCTCAACCGGTGGCTGAGCATGTGGGCTTCCTGGTCACCCTTCCACCACGAGAAGATGGCACGTTTGTCGCCCATGATCGGGGTTTTTGCCCTCTTGCCCCTGAAGCTGTTTTCTGGGAAAACCACGTCCAAATGGTCGCGATCTGCAAAACATCCAGTTTTCAAGGATCTCAGGTCCCACTCAAGCACAGCCAGCACTGCCTCTCGTGTTTTGGCGCAGATGCGACTGGAAGGCAAGCCAATGAAGCAATGTCGCGACAAGAGGGATCCCTTTTCGTTCAGGGGCACAGACCAGCTCCAGAATGCCGCAGACTCATCATGATAATTTGGCACGGCGTCTTCGTGCCAGACCATGGGGTACGTCAGGTGCAGCGGGTGGTCCTTATGAGCAGAGAGGTACACCTCATCTGTTTCTCCTCAGTGTGTCGCCCACGGACTCAAGCATTTGTGTTATACGGGGGTTCAGGGGTCTGTGGCTAGATAGGTAGATTGGTCGATATGTTTTCTTTTAGAAAAAAATAAACTACTTTAAAGTTGCGGAGTTTCTGGCCCACCACTCTTCCAAGCTTCCCAGCCCCAGAAAAATTTCAGACTCCAGGCCTCGAGCGTGTATTTCATGGAAGACATCAGATGGCAGCACGAAGCAAACCTCCTCGTGAACCAAACTTCTGGTTTGATTCTGGCCGGGTCTCCCAGAGCTGAGCAGCGGCAGCTTACATCTGTATCCACGGAAAGGGAGTTGTATCCAGCGCCACATGTCTCTTTCTCTCGTGCTCCTTGAAAACTGTCGATTTGCGACACCACGTGCACCGTCACAGACAAAGGCTGCGGCAATCTTAGCGGAGTCGTGAATCGACATGGCACCAGACCCCACACGTTCTGCCAACACTTCCGCTCCACGGCCATCCATGTCGTCTGTCTTCCTGATCAGCTCTGTACAGGGGTGGCAAGTGCCAACGCCCTGAAAGAGATGTGGAAGTAATGCGGTTGAGACTCATTCGTCGATGTTGTTGCTTCCTGCAGCAACCATGCAAAATTTATGCTGAGCGTAGCTGTGGACAAAAGCATTATTGCAACTCCCCATAATTGATTGCATGTTCTGCTGGCAGCTGGCATGACCGCGGACTCCAAGTTCGGAGCTGCACTGCACGAGGTGGACGCACCGTACCTGCGACAGGATATATAATAGGACGAGATTGTGATCGATCGTGCGACGCGAGACCGAAGGCAACAACGCAGCTGTCAGATTTTTTGTCACAATAGCCGCTGAACTATAGCAAAAGTGTGTAGGATTCTGCAGGCATCGGAGCAGGATCTGTCTTGGCCATGACGACATGCGCAGCAACGCAATTTTCATTGGTATCATGGCGGCTCCCTAGAAGGGGCCGGGTCAAATTCTATTTCCTGGATTGAGGGGGCCGGGGCCTCAGCCCACACTATAGAGTAACATGGACAAGATTGCATCCCTGCCACGTCTGCCAGACAGCACCCGTGACCCGCACGACACCTGCGCTGCCGGGAGAGGAGGCCTCATGCCCGGCAGAGACGAACCAAAACAAGCGAGGGTTTCACTGCTCCTTTGGAGCACCCTTGCGTTTCTTGTTGGATCCCTGCTTATTGGCCGGTTTCATGGTCGCTGCTTTTGTGAGGCTTTCAGCTGCTTGCTTCGGCCTTTCCATATCTTGCAGCAGCAGCACGTACTGCTTCCCGAAAGGGAGGTACTGCTCCTCCACCTCCACTTTGGCTCTCAACAATGCCTTCACATCGTTGTACAATTTCCTGGCATGTGACATGCGCCACGCACACATGTGGCAGAATCGAAAACAGTTCCCTACGAGAGAAAGTATAAGTGCGAGCGGGGCACTTGAAGTTGCTCTCGGCGTTGGCCAGATCTTTCAGCAAGTCCTTGCCGTAGGGATTCGCTTCCATCTCCGTCTTCAGCTTGGCAGCCAACGTAGACCCAGCCAGGGCTTTCTTCGCCAGGTCCTCGCCCTTGTCGAGCACAGTCATGTTTTCCAGCGTCTTCTTCTTCGGCTTCTTGGGTGCTGGCGGATCTCGGGTATCCTTCTCTCCCGATGGCACACCCTTCGGATCGGCCGTCGCAGGCGTTGATGGCACCGAAGGCGAAGGCGAGGGAGCCGAGGACGATGACGGCTGTCCAAGCCGTCGTTTCAGAGCACTCGGTTCGGGCCGCCTCCGTAGCACATGTGCAAAAAAAACATGTGGTGCACAAATGCATTGGACCTGCAACCCTCACTAAATCTGGGTAGGTGGCATAAGATCTTTCAGAGCAGGCAAATCATCTCGATGAACATTCGTGCGGGCGCCCACGATCTGGCCTGAGATAACATGAAATAAGCTATGGGATTCTCGAGGGAGACTGATTGACGTCACAAACACACAATTAAAGGCACATGTCCAGCATGGGATCAGTCAGGCCAAGGAACGATCGATGTCGGAACTCCCCCAGTTCCTTCGAGAGGACACGGGCAGCAGCACTTTTAAGATGCAGCAGACCTACAGAACATGCATGAACAAAACTCTCAGACGTCGCATGATGTCATGTGGTCCTCTCTGTCTTGGAAAGGTAGAAGATCTTGGAGCCTCGGAGGTTTGGATCTTCGGCCCAATCTCCACTGGCTTCCTTCTCTTTCATGACATCTTTCGCCCGCTCTCCGTATTTCTGGATCAGTTCCAGCTCCGTGTAGGGAGCTGAATTCGTCAGCTCCTGGCTGCTGACCTCCTTCACGACTTGCCGCTCGTAGCTGCTGCACAGCTCCTGCAAGTCGCCCCCATGCTCCATGAGCTCACTGATCAAGTCCGAAACGGAGTCGTCATCCTCTTTTGCAAGCTTCTCTCTCAGGGAAGCGGGCAGGGCTTCCTGCCTTTTCGGATTCTTCCTCAGGCGATTCAGAAGCATCGCGCTCTGGCGTCTGTTGCACGCAGGCTTTTGCACCGGCGGCTCTTCGGAAGCCGGCTTCCGATCCACAGTTTTTTTTGCTTCTTCCTCTTTCTTCTCATCCTTCTTCTCATCCTTCTTCTCTTCACACGAGGGCTCCTCGGTTTTCTCCTCCTTCACTTTGGTCCATCCCAACTGTTTCTTCACTTCGTCCTCGTCATCCACTCTGGACCTCAGGGCCTGTGACTGCTGACGCAGCCGGGCGAGCTCATCCATTTTTTTCTTGTCCTCCGCTTGCTTGTCGAGCTGCTCCCTGACTTTCGCCATCGCTTCTTGCACAGTTTCTGAATCCATCTTGGACTGTAGATTCAGTTTTCGCTGAATTTCCTCCTGACGTGCTTGCTTCTCCGCTTTCAGTCGATCCAGCTCCAGCAGAAGTCGCTCCCGTTCGTCTTCGTATCTCTTCTCCTGTCAGTTTCTAGCCTAATGGTTTACAAGGTTTATAGGGGTTAGGGGTTATAAGGGTTTGGGGAGGTTCATAAGGGTTTAGGTTTAGGGGTTAGGGCGAGTTTTGGGAAGATCGGATCAGAGCGCACGTGTTGGGTTTAAATAAGTTAGGGTTTAGGGTTTCTAGGGTTTAGGGTTGTGGACATTTAAGGTTTAGGATTGATCGGCCTGGTCTAGTGGAGTCTCTTTGGCCTTTTCATTTTCTTTCTTGAGCCTGGCTTCCTCCTCCTCCTCCTCTTTTTTCCTGATCTCTTCTTGGGCCTTTTCTTCTGCCTCCTTGCGCCTGGTTTCCTCCTCCTCTTTTTTCCTGGTCTCATCCTTGGTGTTTTCTGGGCCCTCCTTGCACTTGACTTCCTGATCCTTCTGGAGCATCACGAGCTGCCGTTCCAAGTCATCCATCTCCTTCCGGAGTCTTTGTCTGGTGTTTTCTGCTTCCTCCTTCCGCCTGGCTTCCTCCTCCTCCTCCTCTGTTTTCCTGATCTCTTCTTGGGCCTTTTCTGCTTCCTCCTTCCGCTTGGCTTCCTCCTCCTCCTCTTTTTTCCTGATCTCTTCTTGGGCCTTTTCTTCTGCCTCCTTGCGCCTGGTTTCCTCCTCCTCCTTTTTCCTGATCTCATCTTTGGCCTTTTTTTCTTCCTCCTTGCGCCTGGCTTCCTCCTCCTCTTTTTTCCTAATCTCTTCTTCGGCCTTTTCCTTTGCTTCCTTCTTAAGCCTGAGGTTTTCCTGATCTTGCTTCATGATCTCTTCCCAGCGCCTGTTGTCTTCCTCCTCCTTTTTCTGCATCTCCTCCATTCTCTTCGTTTCTTCTTCCTTGCGTCTCTTGCATTCCTCCTCATCCTCCTCAGCTTTATTCATCCTCATGGATTCTTCCTTCTTACGCAGATCCTCCAACTGTCGTTCCAAAGCAGCTCTGCGTTGCATGAACTCCTCATCCTTAATCTTCTGTTCGTCTGCGATCCGTTTCGCTTCCTGCTCCTTGGTCCTGCGGATTTCCTCTTTCATCTTTTCTTCTTCTTTTGCCTTCCGCTTTGCATCCTCCTCTTTCTGGCGGATCTCCTCCTTCAGCCTTTCTTCTTCCTTCCGCCTGGCATCCTCCTCCTCTTTCTTGCGCATCTCTTCATTCAGCTCCTCTGCCTTCCGCATGGCTTCCTCCTTCTGTCGGATCTCCTCGTTCAGCCTTTCTTCTTCTGCCTTCATCTTGGCTTCCTCCTCTTTCTGGCGGATCTTCTCCTTCAGCATTTCTTCTTCCTTCCGCCTGGCTTCCTCCTCCTCTTTCTTGCGGATCTCCTTCAGCTCCTCTGCCTTTCGCATGGCTTCCTCCTTCTGTCGAATCTCCTCTTTCAGTTTTTTTTCTTCTGCCTCCATGGCTTCCTGCTTCTTCCGGATCTCATCCCTCAGGCGGTTTTCTTCTTCCCTACGCCTGCTTTCCTCCATCCCCATGCGGATCTCCTCGTTGAGCTCATCGCTGAGCCTTTGTGTTTCTTCCTTCCGCCTGGCTTCCTCCTCCTCCTTCTTTCGGATCTCCTCATTCAGCCTTTGTTCTTCCGCCTTCGCTGTGGCTTTCTCATCTTGTTCCTAGCAATGATTCAGGGCGAAAGTATGCGGGCGTTGGCACTTGCCACCCCGCACGGACGTACACTAGTCCTAGCAATGATTCAGGGCGAAAGTATGTGGGCGTTGTCACTTAGCCACCCCGCACGGACGTACACTAGTCCTAGCAACGATTCAGGGCGAAAGTATGCGGGCGTTGGCACTTGCCACCCCGCACGGACGTACACTAGTCCTAGCAATGATTCAGGGCGAAAGTATGTGGGCGTTGGCACTTAGCCACCCCGCACGGATGTACACTAGTCCTAGCAACGATTCAGGGCGAAAGTATGCGGGCGTTGGCACTTAGCCACCCCGCACGGACGTACACTTTAAGGGTGTTGGCACTTACGAACTGCAAATCCTACCTCCATTTGTTTCTTCAAGGAAACCACACGGTTCCGCAGGAATTCCTCTTCCTCCATTCGTCGCTTCTTTCTTGCCTCGACGGAAAGACCGGACGACTTGCATGCAGAGCACCTAATTCAACCAAATGCAATTGGGTCGCTTCTTCGATCTCGAAAATCATTTCGACTTTCTTGAGTGGATCAAGCTGGGCATCTTCTGAAATCTCCTGCGCTGAATTAACATCACGAGTCCAATGCATGCGGTGTCCAGACAAAAGGATACCGGGCCTTCATTTCCGCTTCATCCATGAGATCTTCGAGATCCATTTCCAGGTAATCGTTGTCAGCCTGACAGAGAAATGCACATTGAGCAACGTACACATGTTCTGACACGCATGACTGCCGCATGAAACAAGCCCACCTGCGTCGCCAGCGTTGCTTGGGTCTCCATGCACTGCGTCTCGCTGGCCCGAGGAGCAGGATGCACTTCGGCATCTTTCAAACCCCGGCACACAACTCGACCGATTTTCTCGGCCGAGTCCATCTGCTCCAACTTCACCCTGATGTCGGACATGTTTGAGTTTTGTTGCTAAGCTGGCTTTGCCAAGTTGTCTGTCAAATTACAAAATGTCGGACATGTCCGACATCAAGGATCGAAGCACGACCCAAAGCAAGGGCCTCCCTACGCACGGGATCCCTACAGGAAAACCAAAAGCTGCAGGTGGGCAATCGGAGCTCCATATATGCAGCAGCGAAGCACAGCCCGTAGAATGCATCATGTTCACAACAGCAATTACGCTGCCCAATGTTTTGACACAAGCGCAGACAGATGTTGCATTCAAGCGTCAAGCCATCGGATCCTGAGACGACATCCAACCAACAGCAACAGATGCCATGAAGGCAATTGGTAACGGGTTGGTGTGTTATGTACTCGAATGGATAGGAAGGGTAAGTTGCTCTATAGGGGTAACGGGTCGTAACGGGTGGGTAACGGGTGGCCCTGTTCTATTATGTAATAGACGTTTCTTTCGGTAACGGGTCGGTAACGGGTCGTTCCGTTGTACGGTTGATTGGAACTTGTTTGTGACGGATGATACGAAGCAGCAAATGCAGTCGGGTCACAGGAAACGTCGACAGTACATGAGGGTATCCGCCAGCTCCAAGTCGACATCGTCATATGAAACAGCCCGAAGTATGCCAACCTACGGTCAGCATGGCCAGGGCAACACTCTATCACAGCAGAGTTCAGGGGTAGACGTGCCACCCAATCCTTCATTTGGAGCAGGCCCATGTCACCAGAAGCAGCCAATGCGGCAATCCGACGGGACATCCTGCACGTGTCTAATGTAACACGATCCGGATCACACCGATTCATACCATGCAGCAAGGTCCCGAGGGATCGCAAGCGACTGCGATGGATCTTCCACCAGTTCGCGATGCATCGCCCAAACCTGGGTTGGCATTCAATCCTATCTAGGCCGCACGATTAAACTGCACGATTAAGCAGTCACGCAATCTCGGGCATGTGCTCGACGGGATAGTCTTGACTGGCCTTCAATCCCGGACCGCCCGTGACTCGTTCGACTCCATTCACATCATGAGTCCTCGTTGGGTAGACGATATATACAGGGGAACAAGGACACCATGCAGGAATGCCACTAGCTAAACCGAGATGCCTGCAGGTCACAGGCAGACTGGAGTGATCACTCTTTGTGAAGGACGTGTAGCTCGTGAGGGCTTCCGTGACATCATCAGCAGAATAGATCCACACAGGCTTCAGTGAATCGGCGCCCCAATTTCCCAGGTTGATGCTATACTGGCTCAGGCCACCTCTGTCCTTAAAGAAGGATATCAAATATTGCATGGGCACCGTGTTGACTATATGAGAACCTTTCGGGTTCTCAATCGTGAACACAGATCCACGCCACCATGCCAGCAAGGCGAATGCCACCGTGACACCAACGAGGCGGTTCCCCAAAGCCACGTGCGGCCTGGTGGTGTCACCTTCCGGAAAGAAGGGGCTCCTCTGATGTGTTGCAGCATTTATCCATACAAAGCTGGAGCAGACGACGCCGAGATGACATAGCGCCCCTGGCTGGGCCAGCAGGATTGCTGCCACGCCGACCAGCAAGCCAATGTTGGAGCTCAGGTCATGCAGCTCGCTGCCTTACGAACTAGACAAGGTTCAGTTCTCGAAAATTGGAAAGACAATACATGATGTATTGCAGCATTGGTTCGATCGACATCAATGGCTTTCACATCGTAACCCATATTCCGCCAAGCAGATGCCAGGCGGGCTTTCCCAGCGAAGAATTCCAGGAGTTGCACATCACCGCACACCTCCTGACAGGAATGATAAAGGCAAAGAGGATTGGTTCTGCGTGGCAGTCACAATTTAAATTGCTGCTCCTCCGACGCACGAACTCCTGCTTTCTGCAGGACAAAGTGGAAGATCACCAGTTCCACCAGAACCTCATATCCAGGATGTTGCATGTGTGAAATCGCAAATCCGGAATGAACATGGATTTAATGTGACATACTCTTGCGTTTTTCCCATTCGCCGCAGCGCCATGCGGTTGCATCATCACGCAGCATATATAGTTTCAGCTAGCGTCTGCCATTGCAGCGTTCTTCAGGTTCCGGAGTCTCTCCAGAACCGTGCCCTCATCACCACCATCATTAAGCTCTGCTGCGGCAGCGTTCACCTGAAGCACTTGAAAAATGGGTCCCAAGAGCACGTCCGACCGAGGTTTTCCTTAGGAAGCATACATTCAGCGGTGAAAGATCCCAGCCTCATCGAAGTGGTGGCTCAATTGTATGAGCTGCTTGTCTTTGCCATTATCCAGCTTCTTCGCCAGAGCCAGGATCTGGACCACAACATGTTTGACGCATCATATGCAGCATATGACGACATGCACTGCATGTGAAGTTTATCCTGCCGGCGAGACACATCTTTTCCATTGCGACGTGCCTTCTTTGTGACGTAGGTCTTTCTTGTTTTCTTTGTTTTCTCAGCAGCCACGCTCTTCTTCTCCGCACGGAGCTTCAGTTGGTCTGCAGTGCCAGGAAGGTTTCATGGTTATGACAGCTCAAACACATGACTCAAGGCCCAGCCTGACGACAACAGCGGTTCTGCTGGTGTGCGTGCATTGTGATCTTTCATATCCTGGCCAGTCTATAAGGTGACTGATCCAACAGGGCAAGGCATGCAGGCATCATGGTTTTGGGGGCAGCAGAGCTTCCTTTACGTATTCCGGTTGTGGTGTGTATGCCACCTTCGAAGCTGCCGCGAACTGGTCTGGCTCAGGAGCGGGGTCTGCCTGGTGCAGGCAGTCGATCATGTGTTGAACCCTCTGGAAAGAATTGTGTACGCCACCTTCGAAGCTGCAGCGAAGTGGTCTGGATCAGGAGCCGGGTCTGCCTGGTGCAGGCTAGTCGATCATGTGTTGAACCCTCTGGAAAGAATTGGGTATGCCACCTTCGAAGCTGCAGCGAACTGGTGTGGATCAGGAGCCGGGTTTGCCTGGTGCAGGCAGTCGATCATGTGTTGAACCCTCTGGAAAGAATTGTGTATGCCACCTTCGAAGCTGCAGCGAACTGGTCTGGATCAGGAGCCGGGTCTGCCTGGTGCATGCAGTCGATCATGTGTTGAACCCTCTGGAAAGAATTGGAATTCAATCATGCGGCCCCAGAGGCCGCAGCGGGCTTGTCGGTCGAACTTCCGGCCGCCGCGGGCTTGTCGGTCGAACTTCCGGCGGACTGAGATAGAGCGGCCGGCGAAGGAAACAGCAATACATTGCGCAGACACACAGAAATCCAAATGAAACCTAAATGGCACAACTCGACTCAATCAGAGGCCAGGAGCTGGCATGCGGGCACCTTCATCGTCCGAACAAAGGTCCAGGAGCTTGTTTTCTAGATCCTATATACATAGCAGCAACAAGACCGGTGACATGTGGCCCAGGAATATACACAAGCACATGAGTCGACCACCCAGTCCTCCATGACGCGCTTCCTTTTGTTATCCAGTTGCTTCTGCAACTCGATTCTTTCTCTGTCGCCTTCCTCGAGCTTCACATCGAACAGCAGGTCATGCTCCAACTCGGCCTCGGGCATCGCGGCGTCGTCTTTGAGCTCTTGAGCTCCGTCCTCCAAGAGGTCGAGAAGCTCCAGCAGCTTCTCATCATAGGAGAAGGCAACGCTCGGCCACTTTGTGCTGCCGCAACGCGCTGCAAGAAATTTCCACGACCGCCGAAGCTTCCGCAGCGCCGATACCATCGCCTTCAAGTCGTACGCCAGGGTTTCAACGATCACCCCCGGCATGATCGGCAGGAGCACACTCGACAGAATCTGCACCATCCTGAGTCAGGAATGTTCAATCTCAGGCAACACAGCATGCACGATCTACAGTTTGAGCTGAGCATCGACTCACCACTGATGAGGACCTTGGGCTCGCAGAGCAGGAGTGGCTTCAGGATCCAATGATGCTCCTGATCGTCTCGAGAGACAGCGAAGCAGACAACACCCCAACAAAGAGAGGAATAGCAGAACTCACTTTCGCCGGGGAGCAATCAGAAACTCGCGAGCGATGGTCCCTTTCAGACTGGCCACCTTCTTGAAGATATTTTGAGCATCTTCGATCACCTTCGGGATGAAGTCCAGGGGCACATTATTCTTGATCTGATCAACCACAGCGGACAGCTCGTCCGCTTCCAAAGTCCGCTCGACCATCCCGCTTGGCCGACCCATTCTACTGGTTTGCTTAATGTGCACATCTGACAAAAGCTGCATGCAGCTAGCTCTACTGCTAGAGATACCTGTAGCTGAGTCCTGGAATCCAGGACCATGCACAGCTGCATGCAGCTAGCTCTATACTGCTAGAGATACCTGTAGCTGAGTCCTGGAATCCAGGACCATGCACAGCTGCATGCAGCTAGCTCTATACTGCTAGAGATACCTGTAGCCGAGTCCTGGAATCCAGGACCATGCACATTCAACACCATGCTGCAGAGCCATTTTGCATCCAGTGTATGCAATCAACAAAAGTGCAGCATGCAGCATGACTGCCACGGAATCTTTCTAAGTGCAAACGCCTATTGCGAGCAAGGAGCCCAAGGAAGGCCAAGAAAGACCATGCCATATATTTCCCTCATGTCATCGAATTCCAAGCGCTCTAGGCACTTTTCAACCAGCAGCACATCTGGAATATATACCATGGCTCTGAGTCCAAGGCGCTGTGCGTAGACCAATTTAGATATTTCAGAGGCTGATCCATGTTGCCCAGCAGCCCAACAAGAATGATTTACATGCACGGCACATACAATATGTTTTAGCGGCCAGAGTTATTGCTGTATGAACGGCTTCCCTAAAAGGTGCCGGAACGAGGTTTATGCTTACGTGATGTCACTTGACTCGAGCAATCCGAGACACGATTTCGAGCATCCATGATGCGTGATCGCACAGGCACAACAACAAAGCCTCACAGAAGCAATTGCTGGCAAAGCGAGGGGGCACTTGCTGAGCGGACGGGCCACATCATTTGCTTCTCGTTCTGTGCACAGGCGCACACGTTTA